TATTTTATGTAAACATTTCTTGGTATAAATATGAATTTATCATTTTGTTCAATTCTTAATTTACATTTAACCAAAAAAAAAATTTGCTATCAATATAAAAAATTCTTGGAACAACCCGCAACCCGTGACCCGCGACCAGTATGGGCTCGACCCGGATGGGTCAGCGGGCAGGCCTGGATTGTAGTCCAAAATTTGTGGGTCGACCTGGAACCGGCCCGGAACTCGTAGCGGGCGGGCTTTTTTCCACGCGGGCCGTTACCGGACTCATATGTTGGCAGGCCGACCTGGCCCGGCCGGGCAAAAAACTAGCTTTTGAAAAGTTGTGAGACTCTATTTCAATTTATCCTTATTTTTAGTTTTTTGTTGCTTTTTTATTTTTGTTATTATAAGAGAGGGACAAATCTATGATTTAATGCCAAGATGGAATGAATAACGAGTCTCGCTACATAATTGAAAGGTTGAGAATGAATTATATTAAAAAAGATTGAACATGAATTTGTTATATTTTGTAAATTAAATATAGAAAATTACAACATTCAAGACAAGATATCTTAACTATTGCGCTCTCTTGTATTCATGCATAAACCAATTGCGCATGTAATATGATTGATCGTATGCAAAAAATAATAGAGGTACACTCAAAGTTTACATTTACTTCGATATTTGATGTGTTCTTAAAAAATGATGGGAGAGAAAATTGTTTATATTTTTAAATTGTCCAATGGTATACGTGTTATCACGTAATAAAGTGTAAAGAATGATGTACATGTTGTATGACTGTTCGTATGCAAAAAAATTATATGTACACTCCGAGTATACATTTAATTTGACATTTGATGTGTTGTAAAAAAGGGTTAGAAAGTTGTTTATTTTTTTTTACATTGTCCATGGTGTATTGTCACATGGCTAAGTGTAAAATATTGATGTACATGTAGCATGATTGTTTGTATGCAAAAATGCTAGATGTATACTCCAAGTGTATGTTTACTTTAACATTTGATATGTTGTCAAAAAAAGATTGAAGGAAAAATTGTTTATTTTTTTAAACTATCAAATAGTGTGTTATCACGTGACAAAATATAAATGATGATACACATATAGCATAATTGTTCGTATGTAAAAATGCAAGATGTGCGTTCTAAGTTTGCAGTTAAATACTTTAACAAATGATTAGAGGAAAAATTATTTATTTTTTTAAACTGTTTAATGGTATGTTGTCATGTGATAAAGTGTAAAAGATGATGTAAATGTAACATGATTGTTCCGTATATAATGTAGGTCATCAACATCTACATCTTTATCTATATCAATATATAGCCATCACATGGGCCATTTAGTCGTATTCATTTACAAATATACAAATAAAAATATTGTGAATAAGTACTTTGAAGTTCTTATCCAATAACTGAATAACAATCGATCAGAAAATTGCTGTATTGTTCTCTCTAGCATTTAGTAACATGCTTTCATTAGGATCGTGTGAAGATTTAATGCAATTTGAATTAAACTCCTTGTACATTATTTTTGTACATCAAGTTTGACATCTCAAGAAATTTGGACTGATTTTAGGGTGTGTTTGTCTCCCATTATTGAGAGAAAAATAGAGTAATGAATAGTATTTTTAGGAAAATGTGAAATTGAAAAGTAAAGTAATTTTATTGGTTTGTGTGTAGAATATTTTATAGGGTAAATGTGTGATGGAGAATCTTACTATAGCAAACAATTTTTTGAAAGAATAATGTTATTCATCCCCAGTTGGGTTACAAACACAGTCTAAGTGACTATAAATGATAGGTTAAATAAAAGGTAAAATTAAATTACTTCTTTAATTTCACCTATCATTTAATGTCACATTAACGTCACCGAAACTGTATTTGTAACCCCAGTGTGAATGAATAACATTACTCTTTTTGAAATAATGGTAGATAAACATGGCTTAATTTAGACACTTTCAAACATGGGAAAATGACAATAAACTAAACTTTACTATTATTATTATTTTCTTTTGAATGAATCAGCATATCTGATCCTTCAAGGAACAAAAGATTTGCACTGGGGCAGATAATGCACATAAACCTAGACTAATCAACGAATAAACAAACCATTAAACCATTAAAAGGACAGCATTATTAATTAAAACATAAAAATCTCCAAAGAACAAACATTTCACTTTCTCAGGGTTCTAAAAATTCTTGATTTATTATCCGTTCATACTTCGTACACTCACCTTCCACCATAGCCTGCATTTCTAAACAATGCGTGCTTTACATCTTCACAACTCATGACCGAACGATGATCGACTGCCTGAAAATTGTAGACGAAAAAAGAAAAAAACATGATTAATTACGTAGTTTCAACTTATTGTCTCAATTAATTAATTAAGTACACTAGTAATTATGTGAGAATCAATAAGATTAACCTCATAACAGGAAGCTTGCAATGAAAAATCACTGAAACAGCTGATGACACATTGTTGAATATCGAGGCCTAACGCTTCAAGTGTACTAAGTGTCGATAATAATAATCCCGACTTTGCTGTACAACACATCTTGATATGAGTATCTTGGTCTTTCCTTTCTACGTCGAACTGAAATTTTCGAATTTAAAATCAATTATTTCAACACGTAGCGCTACAAGAAAAACGACAATTATCGAGTATAAACAAATTAGTTTTAAAAAAAAATACCTTTGAAGGGTTCCTCAATAGTACTTGATCATCATTTGGCTTTATCTCCTTCAAGTTTCCTGTCAAGTTAATTTGATTCGTATTCTCATCTATCTCCTCTTCCCTCAGCTTATTAATTTTATCAAGAAGCTCTTTCATATAATCTATTGTATCTCCAAGAATTGATGTCCTATCCATCTGCAGAATAAATAATTATATTTATCAACCAAAAAAAAATGGGATTTACATAGTCGTCTCTAAATTTATGATTTACCTTGCTTATCTTGGGGACAATTGATCGGAGCATGGAAAGACGATCATTTAGTCGCTTCCTTCGCCTTCTTTCCGCCATTAGATTCTTGGAGGGCAGGCCATCAGCCTTCTTGGATTTGCACTTTCTCTCTGTAGAAAAACCTACATTTGAATTGTCGATATTTCTCGGAGCTTCGAAGGTTTCAACCTTAAATCTGCTCGTTTCATGTTCGAAACCATTGAGGCCGGCATTGTCAAGAAGTCCAAAATCTTCATTTTCAAGAATTGCAGTGTAATCTTCTTGGATTTGGACTGGGTTTTCATTCTGATAATTGTATGAAGAACAAAATTGTGGGAGTGGTAAATTATCCAGCTATGTTTGGGGTTCATAAAAGGGATATCGATGGCTAAATTGCTCTAAANAGCAATGTTTGGGGTTCATAAAAGGGATATCGATGGCTAAATTGCTCTAAAAGTAAAGGATTCGACATTTCAAAATCTGGGGTTTGATGAGAAGATGAAAAACTCCAAACATTAGGCGAAACTTCATTCAGTTCATTAGGATTAGTGGCCCAACTTTGAGACATTAACTCCTCAAGAATACTAAACTCCATCTCTCTCTCTCTCTCTCTCTCTCTCTATCGCTCTCGGCGCTCTCTCTCTCTCTCTCTCTAATGTCAAAGAAGTCCTAAAACATGGAGACGGATTTAGTATATATACAGTTGTTGTAAACCAAAGAATTATTTATCGTACCTCCTTGTTTAAAAGTTGAATTTTAGAAGTCGAAGAACTATAATTCAAATCAAAAGTTTGGAATGAGTACAATTTCCATAAATAATACCATAATGAGAGAGAAACTTTTTATCAGTAGGGTTAATAATTTAAATTGTTGATTAATGAACGATTTTATTGAGGAAATGGTTTTTAAATACAGTATGTCGTGTAAACGAAATACCTAGAGCATAAAATTAATTATGATGGAATCCGCATTTTCCCATAATCTATTTTCCCCATGGATTATTTTTAAGTCATTTTCGCTGAAATCTTCAACCTGACAGGGTTTAAGTCGTCCCATTGCCCAGCAATGTTTGACCCTACTAATCTGTCTGAAATGAAAAGGATGGGGTTAGCATCATAGACCAGGTCCTGTCAGCTTTTTGATTATTTTGCCTGTAATTTGCACTCATAAATTAATCCCCTTCTCTTTCACTCTAAACTATAAGGTGAAGCCTTAGAGGTGTAAGTCGAGACATGAAGGTTGGTGCGATTTTAAGGTGACCCATCACGGCCCCTTTTCTAGACGCTGCCACCAGCGCACTTCTACCCATTTTGATATCTCTAACATGGTGAGTTAATCAAAGTGATTAAGCCTTGATCCTCGCTTTTTTTTTTCTTTTCTTTTCAGCCACACATTTTTTAATAAAATAATATTATACGCAATCCAAAAACTTTTTCTTTATTTTTAATCACACATTTTCCGTCAATCTACTATTCTAAAATGTATTCTATACAAAAAATGGAGTTCAAACAAGCTCTAAATTTCAAATTTTTATAGCTTGTCATCTTTTCTTTTAGAATACAAATACTATGAAAACTCTTAATAGTTAATAGACAATAATATTTTTCAAAACTATGTACTCTACATCAACATAACAATCTCACAACATGTTAAAGATATTCTACTCGGCCTTTTCGATAAGTTTATGCTCAAATGAGGTCGAGAGTTATGGTGGCACGATTTAGCTTGTAGTATAGTTTTATGCTTGAATGACGTCGAGAGCTATACGAGCTTCACTCAACCCTTTGAATAACTTCTATGCTCGAAAAAATCGACTCAGAGAAATTCGAAGTCCACCCTTCAAATTCAAAGATTATTATGAACTTGTTGAATATATCTGTGGTAGCACGAGTTCGGGTGCCGGCCACGAGTAAAAGGGAGAAAGTGCAGGTAAGGAATCAAATCAATAATCCATGGCCGGTGAAAAGGCACACATTTTAAGGATAATAGGAAAAAAATCATGTGAATATATCACCTGGAAACAAGTGGTTGAAATTCGTTGGGTCACACAATTATAAGCTGTCAAGTGTACAAATGTTTCCAAGTTTGTAATAATAATAAAATGTTAAAACAATTCCTTCTTCAATTCTGCTTTACATTATTAAACATTATATATGATCCAAACTTGTGATTATAAAGACAATGAAGAATCCAAATATTAACACATCATGACTAATTGACTAGCTAATGACTCAATTTATTCTAATCATGGATATCGGAAACGATCGACACTTTGAACATCGACAAATTTACGAGAAGAACTACTTGCAAAACTTAGCGTGATTGCCACAAGGAATGGAAAAATATTTTCAAATCGATATAAGAAAATGCTTCAATATAGAATTTCTAATGAAGTACGTCAAACTAATGTAAGTCTATTATCTTTTTACGCAATGTCGTGTATACCAGACGTACAAATATGTCGTATGGTATTATGATTTATGCGTGTATAAATATCAGTGTTAAAACATTTCTGAGAATGCGAAAGATACTACAACAACCTTAATCAAAAGAAAATTGAACTCTCTATATTAGGAAAAAATGCCAGTATAATCAATGTCATTTTCAAAGTACATACTAATGATTGTACCAATTATTTTAGATCCAAAATCGTTTACAAAGTAGCAAATATATACTTCATAGTACATGAAATTTTATAGTAGGTAGAGAGAGCGATGGAATGTTCCAACTTCGTCCTAATTTCTTTATTTTTATCTCCGAATTCTAGATTAGATAACCATGCACCGATGGGTGGAGTCACGACTCGAATTCAACAGGGCCTAAATTAATTATCGAAAAAATTTCGAACACATAATATAATATTATTAAGCTCTTGTTTAGTGGGATATTAAAATCAAATTTTTAGTAGATTTTGATAAAAAAAATGATGAAATGTGTGATTGAAAAGTTGTTAGTCCCGTTAAATATGTAATTATAATTAATTGTTGACTTTAACTTAAATTAAAATCTGTATTTTAATTCCTATCAAATAGAGGCTAAAAGTAGAAAATAAAAGAAGTCGTAAATTTTTTTTTCTCAAATTTCTCCATTGGCATCCACCTTCCTCGGTCGCTGTGCGCACATGTTATTTTTTGGGGAACGCTAAAATAGACACAAAATTTGGAACACGATATATTCAGGGGAATTCAAAAATTCAAGATCCTATATAAAAAAAATAATAATTTAACGAATCGGATCAATAAATCAAAAGCACGCTTCAAAGGTATTCTCATTTCGTAATCGCTATATGATATCTAGAAATCAATCGATGATCAGAGCAAAAATTATATATAAGAAAGTAAATGGTTTTTGTTAGTGGCAATAATTGTAGGAAGCAAATCTAGGGCTTCACAGCTTAGATTCTTCAAGAAATTTTACGACATCGTGACAAGACATGCAGGAAGGAAATAGCCTGAAGACACAAAAGAGCACGACAAGAGTACGAGAAGGGACTGCAGACTGCTATTTCACTATCAACCTATAAAAATCTATTTCAGAAACCGCGGCGTCCATTCCCCCAGATTTTGGCGTGGTTTTTCTCCTTCAATTACTGCTAGTTTTGCAAATATTCCATCTCGTATTTTTTTAAACAATATTCTTTTGAGGATATATAAAAATAAGCCCCGTTTGATTCCCATTATTTTTCCAAAATAATGGTTTGAATAGTAATTTTTAATTAGGAAAACGTGTAGTTAAAACATAAAAAAAAAAAATGGGTTTACATATAAAATATTTTATTGTATGAATGTGTGGTTAAAAATGAGTGTGTAGAAAAAAAAATTTTCAAATAATTATCGTCAAACGGGAGCTAAATGTGTTTCGTTTGAAGATTTTAATCGAGAACAAAAAGCTATATATGACAAAATTGGAGATCAGTAGAAAGAAACTGCAGAGGTCACTTAACCCTTATTTGATTCTCATTATTTTCAAAATATATTTTTTTCCTATTCTTTTCAATCACATATTTTTCAATAAAATAATATTACATGCAAATCAAAAAAAATTCTTATTTTTTAACAACACATTTTGCATCAATCTATTATTCCAATATGCATTCTTATAACAAAATGAGGTTCAAACAAGCTGTTAGTTTGTGACCCGATTTCAATTGGATGATTTATATCTTGATTTCTTTATTCAAGTCCCTTTGAGTGTGTGGCTTTAAAATTGTACGCAAAATTAAGTCCATATAGAGTTATTCTTTTTTCTAAACAAAATGGTTTATATTTCAAACTTTATTAAATTTTGGTGAGGTAGGGCAAAGACAAAGATGAATTTAGCAAAAATGGACAAAGATCACAGCAGCCCACAATATTGTGAGCAAAAAACCGCCCTTGCCTTGGCCTTTTTTATATTGCTTATTTTAGTAGGGTCCCTTGTTAAGTTTTTGTAAGAACCACGTTCACATTGGAATTTGAGTAAGCAGGAAATTAAGCCAATATTTGACATTTTCTTTTTTTTTTTTGGGAAAAATGTGTTTTGAAAAATATGTTATTAAAAAATAAAGAAAAAATTAACGCGTAAAATTATTTTATGACAAAATGTGGTTAAGAATGAGTTTTGAAAAAAATGATTTTTTTTTTAAAAAAAATGGAGCCGAAACGAATCTATTTGCTTCAACTTTAATGACATAATATTTTATATCAGATAATTAACATGATATAAGAGCCATAAAAATGACGTGAGCTTAAATCATGTTACGACTCCTTTATGAAATTATATGTGTGTAAGAATTTGATAAAACGAATAAATTATTGTACTTGTGAGAGATCGTATTGAAGAAAAATGAAACATCTTATGTCTTCGATCTTTTAGGTTGAATGATGTGTATAATAAGCAAACATATGTTATGATATCAAATCACACTACTAATCAATTGAGCACGTGTTATGGTTTTTATGAAAAAATGACATTAAAATGTATTTATGTAAGAGGATATGTTAAGGATTAATCAAAAAGTCGAACATCAATGCCATTTGTACAGCAACTGTTGACCGAAGTGGTTGACAACCACTCACAGTGGTGGGCCCCACTGTAATTAAAAAAAATTATCCACCCACCCACCTTATGTGTGAGAGATTGTCAACAAACTCACCCCCTCCCCCTGTACAAGTAGCACGACTCAAAGTCGAAATAAGTAAATGTATTCGCCATCCGACAGCTCAAAGTTTTCGAAGAGGTCTATCAAAGTCAGTACATAAATTGATCTAACACTATTGGAGGGTTGGTTCAAAGAAGAATATAATGAGCTGAATTATATATCGAGTAATGTATTAACAATTAGTCATATTATTTTTAAAACTTAAACTTTATATAATGTGGAAATTAAATATAAGAGGGACGTAGTTAGCTAAATTATGTCATGAAATTCTCCCCACAAAAAATGTTTGTCTAGATTGTGAACAGACAATATGTGGACTGATATGTCTCCTAAATAACTATTTACAATGTCTCATGTCTGCTCAAATCATTTATTCAATCAATTGTTCCATTTATATATTTTGCAAATATTCATGTGTGACACCATATTATTTATTGCAAAA